CATGTATTATTCAAGGTTATTTAGAGGATATGTAAGAAGAATGACCCAGCAGTGCATGTATTATTCAAGGTTATTTAGAGGATATGTAAGAAGGATGACCCAGCAGTGCATGTATTATTGAAGGTTATTTAAAGGATGTGTAAGAAGGATGACCCAGCAGTGCATGTATTATTCAAGGTTATTTAGAGGATATGTAAGAAGGATGACCCAGCAGTGCATGTATTATTCAAGGTTATTTAGAGGATATGTAAGAAGGATGACCCAGCAGTGCATGTATTATTCAAGGTTATTTAGAGGATATGTAAGAAGGATGACCCAGCAGTGCATGTATTATTCAAGGTTATTTAGAGGATATGTAAGAAGGATGACCCAGCAGTGCATGTATTATTCAAGGTTATTTAGAGGATATGTAAGAAGGATGACCCAGCAGTGCATGTATTATTCAAGGTTATTTAGAGGATATGTAAGAAGGATGACCCAGCAGTGCATGCATTATTCAAGGTTATTTAGAGGATATGTAAGAAGGATGACCCAGCAGTGCATGTAGTATTCAAGGCAAATCGGGGGATACGCAAGATGAATCGTTCAGCTGCGCATATATTATTCAAGGTCATTACTCAAATGAATAAAATCATCTTATCAACGTCATTTGCAACGCATAGCTACAAATGGTCATATTAAAAGTACAAATGACTAAAACTGAGAGGTAACTGCACCATATTCAGCGTAGCACATGGCACCACAATAGGACAAAGCTCCACACAGCGTCCACACAAGGAGAGACAAGCCAGTGGAGGACCCCATGCCTTCCAATATAACAGTCGGACTGACGAAGATACCAGTTCCTGTGTACGATAATAAATGGTGTCAAGAAATGTACATACGTGCCTCACGATATGGAAACTGAATTACATATGCATTGTGACTGTATATGATATCTAAACTTTGTGATCTGTTCTGAAATAGCCAATGATACGGCTCTTTAAAACATATTGTTGACTGAGTTTTTTGAGAGCTTCTGCTTCAACAGTAATATCCAGCCGTCATCTAAAAGAATTTTAGACATGTTTAGAATCTTGCTATTAAACTTGAAATATAATTCCCATACCCTCGAAGAATGAAGATACATTTTCTCATTGATATAGATATCATAATTGAACTTATGTCATCTGTTATTTACTCTCGCTCGCTGACTCACCAATAATATTGCCTATTATGAAACTCGTGGCACTGACCAACCCGAGCTGTTTCTTCAGAGTAGAGGTTCTCCCGACATTTGCAATATCCGCCATCTTGTCCCCGCTACCTTGCTGACAAAGGCAAACCGATATAGAAAAACAACAATTTTCGTTTACTCTAAGCATAATAATATCAAACAAGATTGTCAGAATGGCCTTTAAGTTTCAGAATCCTGATGGGATAAGAGGACAATCCCTCTATACTAAAATATAATGCACTTAAGTTAACATCTGGCAACAGACAAAAAGACTTGCACAAGAATATTATTTTGTTTTCAAAGGCATAAATGATCATTGGGACTGGCCAAAATGTATTCAATTTAGGTGTCCCTCTCTTTTACATATATACAGCTAGTGATATCTTCAAGATCGCAAATAAAATATTGCGATATTTTGGATTGTGCTTGTTGTTAAATGTTGAAATTTAACCAGGAATAGGTCCGTAAAAGAACGAGGTGTGAAATCAACCAACAAAAGAGCAATGTGAACTCAAAATTGTATTCTAAAAGTAACTAAATTTACAAAGTATTTCAAATCACGAGGGTGGTATTACAGTGGCAGTAAACTCAGAGTGGTAGTACAAATAGACATTTCATTAAACAACAACAATGGTTATAGCAGTAAAGACAGAGGTGGTAATATTCGTCTCACTGCGACATTGGCCAAGTTTCCAAAACAGGCTGAGTGTTTAGGATAAGAATGATCACCACACAATAGCTGGTCTTCTTGTAACTTGAGATGCAAAGTGAAATGCGAGGCGAAAGTTCGCTCCCGAAGAAAAAGTACTCTAGAAGTTTCTCCAACACCCTGGGTCACAAAGTCCCAGAGGGTTGTAACACTCTGTAGCATTTTCCAGTCTAAATATAACACACCACTACCCCTCACTGAGTATCCATGTATAGAATGTGTTAGTCTTGGAACATTGCTACACGATGAAGAACAATCCCGAAAGAAAGTACTACCAGCAGTTGAATATTAATGAAGATACTGTTTCTTGGGATTTTGTACTTTGGGCATTCAAGAAAGAAGTGTATATTCAAACGGATCTCCACATAGCAGGCAAAGTAGCAGAGAAGTTTACTTTGACAAAATCTGGATTTTGGGAACTGCAAGGGTGCCTTAGACGTGTTTGTAAACTGTTAGCTTTTCGGTTGAATATCATTAACAAGTTCAAGGACAATTGCTGATATGCAAAATAACCCACTACAATATTCTGTCAACCACAAGTAACAATTTCTGGAGTACACAGAGTACAGTTAAAATTTAACTCAAACATCAATGGAGTTCATAATAAAATTAATATAACGCGAGGTTAAGACGTTCACAATTAAAATATATGGTAATTATATGTCCTACAACAATAAAATACTACGAGTGGATGCAAACAAAGATAATTTTTTCATAATATTGTACAAGTTGTTAAATTCCAGGCTTAATATCATGCCAAACCCTGTTCAGATATGTTTCTCATAAATTGAAAACGACAACAAATACCATTCCTGACCAAAAGAAATATGTACTAAATGAGAGCCCATCGTACGATACTGACAGTATCATGAGCATGTGTTTTTGAATCACTATTAAATAGTGATAAAAACATGATTTAGTTAAGTATAACAGTGAACGCATTTTTAATCATCTCCATTAGTTTCTGAGCTCTTAAAACAAATCGGGCAACTAAACACAGAAATATTAATTTAACTCATGACAAAACATTTACCGTGCATAAGATAATGAAGTAATAATACTCTGGATGTGATATAGAATGATAAAAAACCTGAAATATCAGTTAATAGATTTGTTCATGCAGTTAATTGGTTGTACCAACTCATCATAGATTTAAATATTATCTTTCTTATTTCAGAATAAATGATTACCGATGAAGTAATAATAATAATAATAATGTGTCCATTTATATAGCGCCAAACTCCACACTAGGTATGCTCATAGCGCTAACAATCAAGGCCATTATTACCCCGGATAACCCAAGCTGCCTGTTAGGCGCTAGAAGGTTATAGTCATATGACTTTTTTCCACCGCGACAATTTTGAACAAACTCACTTGCCTAAGGTGAGACTACATGTGTCACATGTGCTTCGTTATGGGGCAGGACTCAAGTCCTAGAAACTCTCAGGAGTCAAGCTGCCAAACACGGTAGAATGGCAAACTAGATTTAAGTGTATGGAGCAACGATTTAGAGCGACGTTGGAAAGGAAACAGGCATCCAGTGAAACACTGTTTTACCTTTCATGCATGCGGGTGTATCTCCTCACAATTTTATGTTCAAGTCATATCTAACGAAAGGAGAACGTTTGCAGAATGCTAAACCCCGTAATCAAGTTTAGAAGATACAACAAGTAACGCATGCAATGCTGGGTGAAGAGAAGCATTCCTCTGAGGAGATACAACAAGTGACGCATGCAATGCTGGGTGAAGAGAAGCATTCCTTAGGAGGAGATACAACAAGTAACGCATGCAATGCTGGGTGAAGAGAAGCATTCCTCTGAGGAGAAACAACAAGTGACGCATGCAATGCTGGGTGAAGAGAAGCATTCCTCTGAGGAGATACAACAAGTGACGCATGCAATGCTGGGTGAAGAGAAGCATTCCTTAGGAGGAGATACAACAAGTAACGCATACAATGCTCGGTGAAGAGAAGCATTCCTCTGAGGAGACACAACAAGTAACGCATGCAATGCTGGTTGAAGAGAAGCATTCCTCTGAGGAGACACAACAAGTAACGCATGCAATGCTGGGTGAAGAGAAACATTCTTCTCAGGAGACACAAGAACTAACACATGCAGTGCTGACTGACCAAAAGCATTCTTCTGAGGTGTTGACAGTTCATTTTCGTGGTGTTTTAAGGGTGTAAATGGCTTAAAGATATAGTTTCTTAAAATTATCATGTGTCCTGATCGATAGAGGTGGTTTGTAAAGGGTTTTCTCGCTTTTGTTGTCCGACATGTGCAGAAAACGGGAGCCATTTGTGAAATGTTTGTTCTTGTTTTCAATATTGCATGCGTAAAATGTTTTTACCTTTGTCTTTTATGCCACGCACACATGACATTAAGGGCTGATCTATACATCACATGCATTTGTTACGGTGAATCTCGTCATATCACAGAATGGCCGGAGAATAGTTTGTTACCTGCGTTAAATTATCATTGTACGCATGAAGTTAAATGTTTGCATGTGTATAGGCCTATTAGGTCATGCTTGTGCATATATTACTCGTAAAACTTTGAAATTTGCTTATAATGCCACATCATTAACGGTAACTATAGCAACCAAATGTGCTCTTTGATGGATGTTCGTCTGGTAAAGAGGAACACAGACTAGTGCACCGTTGATGATTCTGATTAGACTCATTAGTGTAAATATAACCACTTACTTCAGGCAACTGTTTCTAATTTAAATTTGGCAAAATATTCCATACTGTTTAGGAGTACTGTTTACACATGAACTGAAGTATTGTAAAACAAATTCGTAACCTTGAAAAGCTTATTGTCATGAGTTCAGTAAATGATGAAAATCAGTGAAGATTGGCGAATTCTTAACAAAACTTTACACTACAACGCAGCTATTCACATGCACGATATTATAGAATCGCAACATCCATATTTTCACAGTATCAACAGCTTACCAGTTACCATTGCAGAAACACTCATCCAGACCTCACGTTAACTTACAGCTGGATAAACTGACCCTCAAGGATTAAATTAGAAGCATTCCTCTGAGGAGATACAACATGTAACACATGCAATGCTGACTGAACAGAAGCATTCCTCTGAGGACATACAACATGTAACACATGAACAGAAGCATTCCTCTGAGGAGATACAACATGTAACACATGAACAGAAGCATTCCTCTGAGGAGATACAACATGTAACACGTGAACAGAAGCATTCCTCTGAGGAGATACAACATGTAACACATGAACAGAAGCATTCCTCTGAGGAGATACAAGAAGTGACCCATGCAATGCTGACTAAACAGAAGCATTCCTCTGAGGAGATACAAGAAGTGACCCATGCAATGCTGACTGAACAGAAGCATTCCTCTGAGGAGATACAACAAGTGACCCATGCAATGCTGACTGAGCAGAAGCATTCCTCTGAGGAGATACAACATGTAACACATGAACAGAAGCATTCCTCTGAGGAGATACAAGAAGTGATCCATGCAATGCTGACTGAACAGAAGCATTCCTCTGAGGAGATACAACATGTAACACATGAACAGAAGCATTCCTCTGAGGAGATACAACAAGTGACCCATGCAATGCTGACTGAGCAGAAGCATTCCTCTGAGGAGATACAACATGTAACACATGAACAGAAGCATTCCTCTGAGGAGATACAAGAAGTGATCCATGCAATGCTGACTGAACAGAAGCATTCCTCTGAGGAGATACAACATGTAACACATGAACAGAAGCATTCCTCTGAGGAGATACAAGAAGTGACCCATGCAATGTTGACTGAAGAGAAGCCTTCCTCTGAGAAGACACGAGTAACACGTAGAATCCTGGGTGAACAGAAGCATTCCCCTGACTAGACCCATGTTCGCCAGCATGTTGGCCAGGGAACGTTTAGTAGTCAAGCTTACTCGCAGCGACAAACGTCTACTTTGGATCATATTCTTGTGAGACAATTGCTCTCTTAATGTTTCCTTGTAGGTTCCCGTACGTATGTATTTGCAGGTCGAACGATATTGTTGAACGTAGATTTGTTTTGTTGTCGCAATCAACAATCTTCCAACTATAATACGGAGTCATATCTGTAAACGTGCCTGGACAATCTACTGACTGACAGCATGAGCATAGATCTACGTGATACGATGACGTGCATCAACATATCATTGGTGTTGAAACTGACTACACATATACAACGCCAAACTCATCAGCGCCTTATGCTGTGCTATGATTAACAATAGCACATCTTTAGGTGTTGTGTCTGATGCTGTTCCCAAACAAATCAGTTGTGTACAATAAATGTTTCTAAAACCTACGTAAACATTAGGTTACGTAAAACATAATTATCACCAGTTTGTTGACCTGTTAATGTCATTTTAAAGTCAAAAGATTGATGATATACCAGGATTCGCAAATACAATAACGGTACTTCCATACTTTAAAAGCTACAATGAATACGTCCTACCTTTCCGGCTCAGCACACTGTTAATGTGCAACATCAATGTGTTTGATCATGTTTAATATTCATCTGACATATATACCACGATGCATAAATACATAGCTGATTATGTGCTATGCATATACTGACGCTAACGGTCTGTATATATTTTTGTAACGCCTAAGCCAGGTCTCAGTTTTGATATATACATATTTTATTCATGAATATTATCATGTCATGAGCATGGATTGGCACAACAAGCCAACGGCTTATGTGAGTGCCGCTCCATAAAATATAATACAATACAATCAATGATTAATTTCAAACAAAGTACAGAAGCAATTATTTCCACAAAGGCATATGAAATGCATAAGAACAGGGAAAAGTCTACAGAATTACATTAAATGATTTGCTAGTACAGTTTAGAATAATTTGAATCTATTTGAAGGTAGTATGTATTTATGAACAGAATCAAGAATAAGCTGATTTATGATGTTCCTTGAAGTTTGATTACCATAAGGAATTGAATTTAAGTCAAAACCATTAGTGTAGAAATATTTATCTGATCTTATAACAAGGGCAAGAAAAGAAGTAATGGAGAGAATCTTCGCACAATTCGGATTATTTGAAATATGTCTATCAAAACAATGAGCGTTCAAGTCACTACAACCCAACCTGAGGCGAGCATGGATTATTTGACAAAATCTAGATCCAAAGATTGTTCCATAAACGTATGGTGTCTGGTAAAAAGGAGCGTTTATACGAGTCTGTATGGCAACGAATTGTGCGAATACTATCAGTATTTCTCAAATTGTAAGAACTTAAAGCTGAAACAAGTTCTGGAATTAAATCAGATAAGTAGTTTGGAGTAAGGTTATTATTCATTTTGTAGAAAAAGTACGTTTTTTCATTTCTCTACGCTTAAATAATGGTATGAAATTGGTCTCCTTGTAGAGTTTTTCATGACTAGTTCCTCTCAGCGCTCCACAAATCGTTCTTAGAGCGTCTAATTGTAAATTTTCTAGAATCAAAGACTGTTCTTTCGAACAGTTGTCCCATATGTGACAACAACAATCGAAGAGTGGAAATATATAATAGGTATACATACATTCTAATGTATGTCTATTTAATCTATATTTAAAGCTTCTTAAACAGTTTACCGTAGGACTTACAACCTTTACTATTTAATCAATTTGTTTTTCTAATAACAATCTTTTTGAAGATAAACTTCTAAATGTTTATGGAAATGTACGTCATTTACTTGAGTTCCTTTCATTTCTATGGGTGAACATACAGAGCGATTTACTTTGCTGGAGAATAAAATCGTTTCAGTTTTTGTTGGATTAAAATTTACTTGCCACATATCGGCCCAATCAGAAATGCGGTTTTAGTCATTATTCAAAATTCTTGCAGCTTTGTCTGGGTCTTCTACAACTATATACACTGATATGTCATCAGCAAAAAAGACGAATATTGCTGTTGATGCCAGCGACAATATCATGGATGTATACTAAGAACAGTAGCGGCCCTAAGACTGATCCCTGGGGGACACCTGCCGATATATGTTTTAAATCTGATGATCGGCCATCTATGACTCTGTAATCTATTTCTAAGATAACTGCGAAACCATTCAATTAAGCTACCACGTATTCCATAAGCCTCTAATTTACCCAATATACCTTTGTGCCATACTTTGTCAAAAGCTTTACTAATGTCACAGAAAACCGCCTTTACTTCTTTTCCATTATCTAAAGCATTTGCGATAAAGTCATATAGATATGTGAATTGATAAAGAGTACAATCTCCTGGCATAGATCCTGAACAGGATCAAGTTCACCCGAGTTCAATACAGATTCAGAATTTGTTACAAGGAAAAATCAATCAGTGTACGTGATGTTTGAGTAATCCTAGTAGGTTCTGTGATTAGCTGTTTCATATCAAACATATACTCTCCCAAAAAAGAAACGTATCATGATAATAGCAATTTCATGTAGCAATGAATTAAAACGTGATTCATTTTACAAAAGGTTTTGCTCTGTTTATGAGTCCTATGGTGTTTATGTTTTGAAACATCACAACAAAACGCACCATCCGTAAAATACCCGTATTTAGCAGCATGATTTCAATTTCGGCGTGTAGTGTCACAGAATACACAATTCACATGTAATGCACGTGAAAGTTGGGGATCAGATAGTCTCAATGATGGGTATAAAAGGTTGATCGCTATCTGTCGATTATTCACTGTATTTGGAATATTGTTGACGAACGCAAAATGCCACGTCTAAGTGAAGCCAACCGTCATATCGCCATTGGTTGCTTGAAGCTGGCCAGTCGCAACGTGCAGTTGCCCGACGCATGAATGTTCACCAAAGCACCATTTCACGACTCTGGGAGAGATATCGCCGGCAGAATTCGGTAGCAGATGCCCCTCGTAGTGGGCGACCTCGAGCGACCACTGCGGCGCAGGATCGCTACATCCAGGTACATCACCTGCGTCATCGAACAGCTACGGCGACCAGTACCGCTCGACAAATACCCGGATTGAGGAGGCTTTCTGCACAGACCGTCAGAAACAGGTTGAGAGAGGCTGGTTTACGAGCCAGAAGACCTTATTTTGGCCCTGTGCTTCGATAACAACATCGTCGACATCGAGTTCAATGGTGCACCAACGTTCAGGCCTGGAACCTACCGAATTGGCGTAGAATCTGGTTCAGTGATGAATCACGATTTCTGTTGGAACGACGCGATGGAAGAATGTGGGTGTACAGACGTCGACGAAAACGTTTCGCCGACGCTTGCGTTCCCCAGGTGGACAGATTCGGACGGGGCGGTGTTATGATATGGGGAGCGTAGGGGGTATGCACATTAAATGAAACACCGAGAACAAGTAGGGCTGGTCTAAGTTAACGCTCATCACGTACCGCATGTGCATTTGTTTCACTGTTCCATCTACCGCGCTTACCCACTTGTAATACAAACCAATAATAACGATTTGAATTATGATCGTTTGTTAAACAACTTTTATCCTAAGTTGAATAAAATTCTGAGATTTAAATGTTCATTTGGCAAGGTCAAATTATGAGGATTCGCAATCTTAATTTCACTTAATTTGATTTACTTTTTTGTTTAAAGTGACATTCATAGGTACGTTTTCACTGCAAACAGACTTTACATGCTGTCGCACGTGCAGCATGCTTTCTCGTTTACAAAGTCCCAACACAAGTGAAGTGTAATACGCCGCCATGAAGAAGTCCATTAAGGATGTAAATAGACAAACACTGAATAAAATCATAACGGAAAATACTAATTAAGAGATCCTGTAGTGGTGGCAAGAAGAATTGACAGGTACTTGTGGAGGGGAAACATTCATAAATAGGATTAAGGTGGTGTTGTAAAGTAAAGAAAACCACCAAAGAGAAAATTAAAAGAAGAGAAAAAAGCCAACAAAAAACAAAGACAAAAGACAACAGTTTACAATGGATTTGGAATGGAAACTTTCATTTTGGAAAAATACGAGAGGTAACCCACTAAGTGACAGCGTGTTTTGTGATTTATGATACATTTAACATCCGTCAAACCAGGACGCTAGAAACACACACTACATGCTGTCGCACGTGCAGCATGCTTTCTCGTTTACAAAGTCTCAACACAAGTGATGTGTAATACGAGGCGATGAAGAAGTCCATTAAGGATGAAAATAGACAAACATTGTACAAAACAATAACGGAAAATACAAATAAGGACATACTGTAGTGGTGGCAGGAAGAAATGAGAAGTAGTTGTGTAGGGGAAACATTCATAAATAGGATTTATGTGGTTTTGTGAAAGAAAGAAAACCAAAACAAAATAACAACAGATGACCATGGATTGGTCAGTTGTCGACAAGACCCGTGAAGACCCGGGTTAGAATTAGTCTTCGGCAATCTAATTCTTGCGCATATTTTATTTTCAGTCACAACAATTAAGATTCATAATGATATTGAAACTGACCAAGTTCTATCTGAATCACCTGTTTTCACCTGGTATTTGATTGCTAGTACTATAAAACTTAAAAGGGCAACTTATCTCCCCTTGCTGCACCACATATCCCGCTAAGATATGTATACAACCATTGTCATCAAGTAATTTCCTTACATTAAAAATCTTATTTTCAAAATAACTATGCTCTATTGAATGGTAAATATTTATTAACATTCTTTTTGGTCAGTGTGCACAGAAAAGGTATTATATGGTAAAAGCATGTCTCCTCGGCCATACGGTTTTGTCACAGAAATAATGTCTCTTGCCTCTCCTCTTCCAGTTATGACTATTTTTATAATGATTTGATCGAAGTGACTTTCAATGAGCATTTCATTTTGCATTAAAACATGAAATATATTCATGGGAGACTTGGACACAAGGCAAAGAGATAGTAATGTGATGCAT